ACAATATTTGTAAATCTGGAATCTGAGGGTGCAAAAAAATCTAAATATTGAGAAAATCATCTTTAAAGTTGTTCAAATGAAGTTCTTAGCAATGCATATTACTAATCAAACATTAAGTTTTGATATATTTACGGTAGGACATTTACAAAATATCTTCATGGAACATGATCTTTACTTAATATCCTAATGATTTTTGGCATAAAAGAGAAATGTATAATTGTGACCCATACAATGTATTGTTGGCTATTGCTACAAATATCCCCCAGCGACTTAACACTGCTTCTGTGCTGCAGGGACACATATCATACGTGTTTTGTTCATAGAAACTCATGATATACTGCTGTACAGTGATGAGAGCAGCAGGAGCTTTCCGTGCACAGCATGCAGACGCTGTGATAATCAAATACAGTGTTGATTCTTTGCATGATGCATTCTAATAGATTATTAGATGAGACGCACCTGTCGAGTCTCTGCATGGCGAGCGCTAGCGCCTTCTGCAGCTCGTCGATGATACGGTTCGATGGGTGACTGTACTGAGAGAACGAGAGCGGCGTGGCCGAGGACGAGTACAGCATCAGCTTCTTAGGAGGCAGAGGAGGAGACGGCTTTCCCTGCAGACACGACACCTTCAGCGGCTGACACGAGTCTGGACACAACACACACACACACAACCGTAAAATAACATTCTCATCAGCTGAAATATAATAAACATGAACTGAAAGATGTTTCATACGTGACCCTGGAGCACAAAACCAGTCATAAGGGTCAATTTTTCGAAATTGAGATTTGTGCATCATCTGAAAGCTGAATAAATAAGCATTCCAGTTTTTTAGTATATGAAAATATTGTATGGCCGAGATACAACTATTTGAAAATCTGGAATCTGAGGGTGCAAAAAAATCTAAATATTGAGAAAATCATCTTTAAAGTTGTTCAAATGAAGTTCTTAGCAATGCATATTACTAATCAAACATTAAGTTTTGATATATTTACGGTAGGAGATTTACTAAATATCTTCATGGAACATGATCTTTACTTAATATCCTAATGATTTTTGGCATAAAAGAGAAATGTATAATTGTGACCCATACAATGTATTGTTGGCTATTGCTACAAATATCCCCCAGCGACTCAACACTGCTTTTGTGCTGCAGGCTCACAAATGTTTAACAGCTAATGTCCAGGCATTATTCTCTCTCTCTCTCTCTCTGTCTTCATTATTTAGTGTGAGAATCATTGGACTTTGTGTCTGATGTTGGAGTATCTTCCTCCGATCACAGTGACGACTGTAAACTACATACTTCCACATGTTTTCAGTAAGATCTCAGAGTTTGAAGATTACTCGCTCACCATTCAGCTGAACCTCACACTGATCAGGTCAGACAGGTCATGCACTTTGACTTCTGATGTGTTATATTTCACACGATCCTCTGGTGTTAAACTAATGTGTGTATTAACTCCATGTGCAGGAGTATTTTCCTTAAGTTGGCGTCTTTGGGCATCTATCTGTTCTTCTTCATTAGTGCTCAATCTCCAGAACAACACAAGGTTTGTTAAGAAGTGAAGAAGTTGTTTCTCCTAGAAAACAATATGCAAAGACACCACTTTTAATTAAAAGTCGGAGAGATCTTCTTATTAAATGATCTGAGCTGCTCCGCATTCATTATATAGCTCTATAGTCTTCCTGATTTGTGACTGTTTTTCTTTCTCCTGATGTATTTGAGGAGAAACATGACAATGTTCATACTGAAATGAAACAAATAAGATCTTTTAACAGGGTTATCAGTGCACAGAGAATGCGTTTGGGAAGGAGATGTACAAACTCACCATCTTTAACCTCCTGGAGTGTTTCTTCAATGCATTTTGTGTGGCCTACCCAAGAATGTGAGTTACTTATATACTTTATTTAACCATTTAATACTTTATTGAACACTTTAGACATAAAATACATACGTGCCCCTCTGTGACTGCATATTTTAATCATTTAACACCAATTCTACTTCATCTTCATTAATGCTCAAGCATCTAAAGAAAAACACAAGGTTTGTTAAGAAGGGAAGAAGTTGTTTCTCCTAGAAAACAATATGCAAAGACACCAACGTCTGTAATTAAAAGTCAGAGAGATCTTCTTATTAAATGATCTGAGCTGCTCCGCATTCATTATATAGCTCTATAGTCTTCCTGATTTGTGACTGTTTTTCTTTCTCCTGATGTATTTGAGGAGAAACATGACAATGTTCATACTGAAATGAAACAAATAAGATCTTTTAACAGGGTTATCAGTGCACAGAGAATGCGTTTGGGAAGGAGATGTACAAACTCACCATCTTTAACCTCCTGGAGTGTTTCTTCAATGCATTTTGTGTGGCCTACCCAAGAATGTGAGTTACTTATATACTTTATTTAACCATTTAATACTTTATTGAACACTTTAGACATAAAATACATACGTGCCCCTCTGTGACTGCATATTTTAATCATTTAACACCACATTTGCATGGTTCTCTGGTGTCGGATAATGCTAATATGACATGCAGCTCAACACAAAGTATTTTTTTAAAGTGCTTTGTTTTTATTTAGTTTTTGAAACGCAAAAGGTTTTAAAACAAACTAGTGCTGTCAAACGATTAATCACATCCAAAATAAAAGTTTTTGTTTACATAATATATGTGTGTGTACTGTGTATATTTATTATGTATATAGAAATACACACATACAATACAGAATATATTTTGAAAATATTTACATGTATTTACATGTATATATTTACACTCATATAAATGATATAATATATAAATATATTTAATATATAAACATAACATATTTTTCTTAAATATATACATGCATGTGTGTGTATTTATATATACATAATAAATATACACAGTACACATGCATATTTTATGTAAACAAAAACTTTTATTTTGGATGCGATTAATCGCGATTAATCATTTGACGACACTAATTTCTTGCTGGAATGCAAAAGTTTTACAAGCTAATGCAAAGTTTTTCAGGGAACTTTTGTGAGCGAACACAAAGTTTCTCGGTGGAGCACAAAAATTTTATAAGCGAATGCAAAGTTTCATGGGTAAACACAAGTATTTCACAAGCAAGTATTTAGCAAGGAACTCAGTATCTCTTGGTGGAACGCAATTTTGTTAGAAAACACAAATGTTTTGTAAAGTTTCTCGGTGGAATACGAAGTCTCTTGTCGGTGAATGCAAACTTTCTGAAGGAGCGCAAAGTTACTTGGGGAACACGAAAGTTTTGCGAGCAAATGCAAAGTCTCTTGAGAAGCACAAACATTTTCAGAGCTAACACGCAGTTTCTCAGGGAACAAAAAAGTTTCTTGCGGAGAGCAAAGGCTTTGCGATAAAACTCAAAGGTTATAGGAGAAGACAATGGTTTTGCGGGTGAACACAAAGTTTCTCCTATATGTGTGAATGCAAAGTTTCTCAGGGAACCCAGAGGTTTTGCTGTAGAACGCAAAGTTTTTTGCTTGAACAGTTTTGCGAGCAAACTCAAAGTTTCTTGGGAGAACATTACTTTTCTCTTATGAGTGAACGCTCATTGGAAAATGCTAGTTTTGCAAGCAAATGCAAAAGCATTGAAATATGTGATCCTGCAGCACAAAAGCAGTGTTAAGTCGCTGGGGGATATTTGTAGCAATAGCCAACAATACATTGTATGGGTCACAATTATACATTTCTCTTTTATGCCAAAAATCATTAGGATATTCAGTAAAGATCATGTTCCATGAAGACATTTTGATCAAAACTTCATTTTTGATTAGTAATATGCATTGCTACGAACTACATTTGGACAACTTTAAATGATTTTCTCAATATTTAGATTTTTTTTGCACCCTCAGATTCCAGATTTTCAAATAGTTGTATCTCGGCCAAATGTTGTCCTATCCTAACAAACCATACATCAATGGAAAGATTATTTATTCAGCTTTCAGATTTCGAAACTTCGAAAAATTGACACTTAAGACTGGTTTTGTGGTCCAGAGTCACTTATAATTTTCCTCGGATCTCATTCATGTTGCATTAAGCACACATGATGCTCATTGTGAATCCCTTTTATGCTTTTGCATTTTTAATATTTCAATTATCTGCTTTTCATCAACTCACGTACCCAGGTTAGGAGACTCTGCTTTAGCTAATGACCGCATCTCATCGTAGGTTATTGGTGGAGAGGTTTCCATCCTCAAAGTTGGCGCAGTTATTAGGCAAGAAGCAGTTTGAGATCTCCTTCAATGTTCTGGATCTGGTCAACAGTCAGACAGTCACGTGGGTCGGAGTGTTTTACTGTCCTCTACTGCCAGCCATCAACACCATCAGGCTGCTGCTCCTCTTCTACGTCAAGAAGGTTTGATGTTTGATTCATTTATTTAACAGGAAAGTCAAATCAAACAAAACTAACCTAAATGTTTTAGGGTATTATTTTAGAAACAGCTAATGTACATTTACATTTAGTCATTTAGCAGACACTTTTATCCAAAGCGACTTACAAATGAGGACAATTTTGCTTCCATAACTTGTCTTCTTACAGATTAGTGGGAGGAAAATATCCAAAATACATATTTAACGGTTTCATTTATTACACTTTATCTATGTGCGTCTGATTTCATTTACAATACATATCTAAGTCGCTTAAAGTAATTTTCTCTAAATGAGTTTTTTCTCCACTTCAGCAGGACTTACAGACACCAAACTTAGCAGTTTTATTCATATCTATATTCTGAAGGTTTTTACTGTGGGGTTTGTTTGTATATCATTCACCTGAGTTTTTATTCCTAAAAACGTGATTAAAATGTACTTTTTTCACAGTATTTTTTTATTTACGCAGGGATAAAAAGAGAAATCCAAAATCCCTTCTGTAAAAACCTTTAACTCTAATATGTCAACAAAATCAAACAAGAATTTCGAACCAGGCTTTATCCAATGTTCAGAATAATGTTTTGGAAATGTATGCAGATTAATGCAGATTTAATTAGACAATGCATTAATCAACTGGGGAGAGCTAATAACTAACATTTTTACCCTATTCACCAGTGTTGCCTTAATAAAAGAAAATGAGACATTAAACATCTATTCTTCAAATATTTACTCAGCACTCACTCGTGTTATGTAACTGGCGTGATGTTTCTCACACATTCATAACTCCTATCACGTTCTCCTCTGAGGTCTGATCCGGGTGGCTGTGGCCCATTTGAAGGCAACAGGACCGTGTTTAACGTGACCAGTGTGTGTATAAAGACGCTTCCCAATCCGGTCCAGAGCACCATCAGCTACATCTCATCTGAGGCCTTCGCCTTCGCTCTCATACTGGCTGAAGTGTAAGTGTGTGTTTATGTCCTAACCAGGTGTGATGGAATCAGGGTTATTACTGTGAATTAAAAATAAAACCTTAAAAAACACTCAAACATTCACTGAAAAAAAATTATATATGCATAGTATATATTAAACACTTTTTTAGCTAGTTGCAAAGGCAACATTTCTCTTTTGTTGTTTAGTTTGTTGACGTTCTAAAATAACTAAACTGTAAAAAAATATATTGTTTCACCTTAAAAAGTAAGTGTTGTGCTGCCTTAAAATTTTAAGTTTAGTCAACTCAATTATCCAAGTTGTCATATATTTCAAGGTGACCAAACTTAAAATTATAAAGCGGAGAGTTCCGGTCCTTGACTCTGATTGGCTGAGCCGCATTCGAAGCTGTTGTAAATGACTCTACAAAGTAACACACACCTTTGTTTACATTTGTGTGTTGCTCGGCAACCACTTTGTAGCAACCACAACTGTTTCTGAGGAGCTACATTGTTTGGTGGAAGAATACTGTGTTTATTAATATCATTACACTTTATTTGCTCTGTTTTATTCTGTGAAACCTTACTACGTATATGGAACAACCGTGTTTTATAAAAGCAATAACCCCCGTGAAGCTGTGGTTTACAATGAATTTATAACAGCTCCGCTTCACGTCGTACCTAACAACGCCCCTTAGCTGTTATAAATTCACTGTAAACCACGGCTTCACGGGGCTTATCGCTTTATTTTATGGCAGCATGACCACTTACCTATAGTGGAAAAAAAATTATATGTAAAATTAAATAAACTAAAACAAAAGCTATTTAGACGAATAAAAAACTAATTAAAATTACAAAAACAAACGACAAAATTACTAAAATATTAACTTAAATTAAAATACAATCTAATGCAAAATATTAACCACATTGATGATACTAAATTAATAATACTGGATGAAGTCGATGCTGTTTTTTGTAAGTAATGTGTTTGACTGTACTGGTGTTCATTTATTACCCATTCATCTGTTTCAGTGTCATACTGATGACAAAATTACTAAAATATTAACTTAAATTAAAATACAATCTAATGCAAAATATTAACCACATTGATGATACTAAATTAATAATACTGGATGAAGTCGATGCTGTTTTTTTGTAAGTAATGTGTTTGACTGTACTGGTGTTCATTTATTACCCATTCATCTGTTTCAGTGTCATACTGACGTCGTACGTGTCTCGTGGACGAGCGAATCGTAAAGCCATCGAGAGACTGAAGGACATGTTGGTGATGGTGAGTGTGACGTGAACTGAGCAGAAGTCAAAGATGTACATTTTCATTAATTGCTTTCATTTATGCAAAGTGACATACGAATAAAGGAAAATACGAACACAATGTTCAGTGTTTGCCAACATGACGCTCATGCAAGTAATGCAATTTCAGATCACGCTTGCGACATTTCCTGTCCTATTTCTAAGACTGAACTCTAGATAAAAATGTTATAACCCCCAAAACTACAGATATTAATAATGTCTATGCTTCTGTGACATTCAGACTGTATTTTCGTATGTATTTTCTCTACAGTGCAGCTCTGATAAACGTTTCCTGGTGAAGCAGCACTCGACGATCATGAGACGACAGCAGAGAACACGCTAACATCACGTAAAAAAAAATACGATAAAACTGAAACAAATGGTAACTTAGAAACAAGAAATTAAACTGCTCTAACATCTTGATCTGAAGCTACTCAGCAAAAATGGTCGGTGTGTTTATAAGTGTCATGAAAAACTAAATTACTCCAGCTTTTGGCTGTATTATAAATAGACATCGGGGGAAAATAAAATAAATTCACCAAATGTATAATATGAGTCTTTTAAAGTTGAGGAAGAGGCAAGATTTGCACCGATTTCATCTCATTCAGAGCTATATTTTTTGTACTTATGATCTCTGACCTCTAGGTTTATTATATCAGGTCAAAGTTCACCTAAATGTCAGTTTAATGCATAAAGGCCGGTTTACACCAGTAACGATAACTATATTTGCGTCCACAACAATGCACAATAACGTTCTGTTTATTAGTTTTGTTGTCTGTCACTTTAAATGCTTTTAAAGTCTGATGGATTTTGATTGGCTGTCAATGTTTTTATTGTTCATCAGATGGAAAATAATTGCTTTGAAAGTGATTCCAACATTTAGTTGGAAGTAGTTGTGTTGTGGAAATGTTATAGTTATATTCACTGTCCTCGGTGTGAATGGGCCTTAAATATCAACATAATGTATCAGTACTGTAAAGTATGTTTATATTCTGTGATGTTTGTGGAAACATTTTTGCAATTCGTGTGGTACTTTTAGTGTCTTTCAATTTTAAAACTCTTGGTCAGTATTATTAATCAGACATAATATAATCATTTTGTTATGCTTTAGTTCCTAAAGTGTGTGTATATCAGTTCATTTGTTAATGTATTCTCACAATAGAGTGTTATATTAGTATCATTGATGTACTATTTTAATTTTTGTTAATATTTAGATTTTGATTGTATTTTATATTTTCAGTTTTCATTTTAAAGGGGTCATCGGATGCCCATTTTCCACAAGTTGATATGATTCTTTAGGGTCTTAATGAAAAGTCTGTAACATAGTTTGGTTAAAATTTCTCAATGGTAGTGTAAAAAACACCCTGTCAAAAACAGCTCTTTTCAGATCAAGCCGTTTTGTAGCATTTTCCTTTAAATGTTAATGAGCTCTGCTGACTCCGCCCCTCTCTTCCGAGCTGCTCTCTGAGGGACTGTTTACTTTAGCTGCATTAATCGTGAAACTTGCTTATTAGCACATAATTAGGAAAGGTGATTTGCAAAGATTCATTACAAAACATTATACTCACTTCTGGAGGTGAAGCTGGATCACGAATGATTCGCGCGAACATAGACGCATTTATGTAGATCGGGGAGCATTCCCTTCAGAAACAATGTAATCCACTGCGTCTTCAGCGGCTCAGATGTCGGGAGTAAATGACGACTGCTGTTCATTATTATACATCCAACAACAGAACACCTCAAT